TCAAAAGGAAAGGCATGACATATATATAATATACTCTGTTTTGATATCCTTTTCTGTGGAGCACTCAGTTTTTTGATGACATCAAGTCATCACGGTCCTGACAACACATCGCTCAGTTTTCCTGATGTGAATGTGCTGTTGGATGTCAATGCAGGCCATGATTTTACCCTAATTCTGGTGTTTCTTCTGGTGCTTACCTAAACATTTCCATCCATACTTTATTTACACTAGCATTAACATTTCTAGTAGCAGCCTCTATGTTTTGGCAGAAAACAAGGGGAAAACTGATTTACAAGTCTACTTTTATTTGAAGATACAATTTCCAGCTTTCTGTTTTAAACTTCAGGAGCAAACAAGAAACTTCCAAATCATGTTCTTAAAATCACTGAAGAATTATAGGATCACATAAACATTATCTGTATGTACAGTGGTTGATGTCCCTCCTAAGAGGCTACCCCTAATAGTTATGCTCCTTTGAACATAAATTACTCTCCAGCTAGACTAATTAACTTGATTCAGAGGATGTGCAGATTTCATTTTTGGGAATATAACTATGCACTGTTATATGGTAAGCAGCAATGGTGAATTCTTTTTAATGAAGATTTCTAGGTCCATACCGCAGAAATCATGAATGACATTTATTCTCTCATTCTCTCTTACAGTGAGGCAGAAGCATGATATTTTTAGATTGCATGCTCTTATAAGACCAATAAGTTCATAACCATAATGAGAGAGCTGTGATTAATGATACACTTCATTAAGCAAAGCTAACTATTAATATTATGGTGCAGTTGCTGTTAGACAGGTTTCTCATTTCTTGCAGTAATATTGCTTCACAGAAGAAATATATAGTATATAATGTAGCTAAAATGCTTAGTAACAACAGTTAGAGAAGAAAAAATATATATATATCAGACTATCATCCAATTAAAGACAGCTTTTGATAGTATTTGGCCTGAATATTCAGAAATATGGATTCAACTCCTGACTCTGCTATGGAGTTCACAGACCATCAACTGAAAGTCTTATAATCATCAACTGAAAGTCTTCAGTTATCTAAATGTAGGCACCTTGTATGATTTCTGATGTCCATATCCAACCATAGTGTGCCTCTAAAAGAACACAGGGATGCTTGTATAGTTACTGCCATCATGAGGAAGTCCTTGATGCTTTAGATTATGTCTATCAGTGTTAGGCATATGAACTCAACTTGTAATTTCTCTTTTGTTCCTTTTGTGTTCAAATAAAAGTTTTTTCCTCTCCAACATATTTTTCATCTTTTCTATTGAAACCTCCTCAGCACAGGGGCCAAGTTCTCTTGACTGAGAAATCTGAAAGCATGCATGGTATATTCTATATTAAATTTAATTATATAGATACTATAGATACTTACTTTCCTTTTTTTTTTTTTTTCTTTTTTTTTTTCTTTTTCAAATTTACTACAGATTTCTGTCCTGGTGACCCTGGTGACTCAGACATTTGTGCAGAAATATAAAAACTTAACACTTGACATAGATACATAAACCATTTAGTTTGTTCAGCTTTTAAAACAGCATAAAATGTGACTTAGGTTTGGATTAAGCTTTCTAACAGAATCTTTCTGTTAAAATAAGCAATAAAGGTCTATTAATGTATCAGTTTTTAAGTTGACTGAGAGGTATTAATTCACAAAGCCTGAAAGGGTCTTATACACTGAACTTCATGTGTTGGTCTATAAGTAGCCATTATGTTACACATAGGACTCCCTTATATTGAATTCTGTGTACTATGTGCAACTAAATCTTGTCTCTGAGAAAGGCATCCAGCCATGCTCTAAAGACTATTGGCCCATACCAACATCACTAGATAGTTTACTCCAATAATTATCTTCCTCGTATAACTGTTTTTTCACTTTTCAGATTGTCTCAATTTGTCAGTACCAGCTTTTCTCTCTGGTTCTCGCTTTCTCTTTCTTTGGTAGTTTGAGAATCCCCATTCCAATACCTTCAAAGAAGAGAGTTCAGATGTTGCAGAAACACTTCTTAGTCTTTCTTTTTTTTTTTTTTTCATTTTGTTTTGCCTTTTTTTTTTTTTTTTTCTTTCTTTGGTTAGCCTTTTCCACAGTAAAGTGAATAGATACAGATCTTTGAAGGTCTTTCAACAAGTCATTTTCATTGTGCTTTGAATTCTTTCTTTGGACCTTTTTGTGACTCTTCCAAGTTTCTCAAAATCTTTTCAAACATGGATTATCACAGTGTGTTTCCATCTCCTCAGTGCCCTAAATGTTCCTATTTACTTCTGTTCCTATTCATTTCTCTCCTTTTACATACATGTGAAGATTGCATTAGACCTCTTCATGGAAATTTCAGTTGAGTTGCCTGTCTGTTCCATACTTCAAGCTGGAGCCACAGTCCAACTTTATTAGACTTGGACAAAACGTATAATGGAAACATAATAGAAAATAAGTATTTTGTGTTCAGTTTCTGCTTGGTTTCTCTGACTTTATTTTTCATAGCTGGCATTCTCCTGGTATTCCGATTTTCAAAAAAATAAAAAACAGCGATCCACTATTTTTCTTTCAACCAATTGTTTTAGTATTTTTGGGCAGGTTAACAAAGCCGGCTCATTTAGAAATATTTCTCCCAGATATATGATTTTTAATATTCTTTTATGTTAATAATATAATAGAAGGTAATTTACTATTCTTAGGTAATAAAGAGAAAATCCTGTTTATACTTAAATATATAGAGAAATATTTGTCTCATTTAATATTTTGTTCTAAACTGGGGATCCTGCATTATGCTGAGATCTTTCCTGTTCGTAATAGACATTTAAAATTTATTGTTCATCTCCTTTTTATTTTCTGGTCTCTCTTTCTTCTTTTTTTCCCCCCTCTGTTATGTCAGTTTTATTCAGAACTAAATTTCTCATTTAAATGGGTTGCTTTGGATGTACATCTTTCTCACTCCTAACTAGTAAAGCCTCTCCACTATTAGTGGAATTCTCTCTTATATAGTGTAGTTATTAGGCTATCAGACAAATTCTTTATACAGGACAGTTAAATTCATATTTTAAAAGCTGATGGTTTATCTCCCTCATTTATGGTCAATGTTGACTTTATTGTATTCATATATATTTTGTTAGTTTGGGAAATTTGTTCTCTGGAGGTGTCAGATTGTAAGGCTGCTCTCAATTTGCTGTTTTTGAACATTATCTAATTATCATTTGTTAGTCCATGAATAAGAATGATCTTCTGCTGAAATGATTAATTTATCGTTTTCATCATAATAAATTCACACATAGTGGTGCCTTTTGTATTAGAAAATTATAATGAATTATTTTTATGAATGAAGATTTATTACAGTAAGCAATTTGTTTGCGATGTGCTTTATTTTAAATCTGAATTTTAAATCTGATAACAGGCCAGCAAATTCCAGTTGATTTGTTTATTCTGAGCAGTTAAATTGGTATCTCATTACTTTAGCCAATTCAGTACCATTGAACTTTACATCTTCAATTAGAGATTTTTCTTTTCTATTTTGCTATATTCTTGAGTTTTAAACTCCTCCTTAAAGGAAATTATCCTTAGAACAAAAGCTTCTATGTTTTCTGTTGCTATTGCTGCTCATAATTTTGAGTGTCTGAGATTCACTGGAATGAAACTGGGGCACTTTTAAAATAATTTGAATGCTACTTTCAACTGAGAAGCAATGTTTATAATGTTTTGGCCCTTCTATTTAGGTTGGCTTGTTTGAACATGAAGGCTTTGCATTCTTTAGATCATAATGACTATACAAGAAAAATGAAGCAAAATTACTTTCTTGGTAAAATCAGCATAGATTTCTTTCTTTTCTTTCCTAAAATGAGTAAAGTATTTGTAACTCTACAACTAAGTTTCTGACACCTAAATCATGTTGAGCATCTTACTTATCAGTATGTTGCTAAGAAAAAAATAGATAAGGCAGATAAAAATACTGAGAGAAGCTTATCCATAGTAAGTTTATGTAGACAATGCATGGCATCTACTTGGGAACTGCAGATGGCACAGCGTATCCAGTTGTTTACTTCCTCTTTTGTTTTGGTTTGCGGTATCACTGTGTTTTCCAAACATAACAAAGAATCTGTGGCAGCATTACATTTCACTAATTGCTCGTTCAATCCATAATATTTGATATATATTAAATGTATATATGTAAATTTGTAATTGCTGAATCTCACTTGCAAAATTGTTAATAAACCCGTGTTCTTTGTTACTGAACATTTACATTTGTGTAGAAATTAAGACCAAAAGGAATTAAGAACAGTCAATACATGATCTGAGCTGCAAAAACTCTTCTGAACATTTAGATGTCTGTGAATATGGACAGCTCCAAGACTTTGGAGCTTCCAGTATATAAATTAGTGAAGTATTTGGCTGTCAGCAGTTGCAGCAAACTACAATAGTTGTCTCTCCTTTGGGCTGCTGACAGCGCTGTCTCCTAGTTTGTAAAGTCAAGTTATGTTGTTTCAAAAGAAGTACACAAATTAGAAAAGTAAAATTGCTGATTTTAGTCTCTGCATCCTACAGTTTAGAGCTTTGCCAGATACTCCTACGACTTGTTCCCAACTTCCCAGCTCCCAGATTATCTCAGTTCCCTCATTCCCACCTGTGTTCTACACAGGAGGTGGGATATGACAAAAGTCACTGATATATATAATTCACTTCTTTTAAGCCCACTAAACTAATTAATTAGCTACAGATTGATTGATTTTTTTTTTTCACGACGAATTACAATTCTGTGATGAAAAGTGAAGTACTGGCTAGGACATGTTTCTTTTTCCCATTTTCCATTTCTGTATTCTTGTCTGTATTTGTTGACACTTTTTCCTCTTCCTGCTTCCTTTTTTCCTTTTCCTGTTTCCTTTTCCCGCCTTCCATAGCATGCCCTTTACATTGCAGAGATCTGGAGGTGATCTCAACTATGACTACATTCACAGTTTTCTTCTTGTTTTGCTAATAACCTACCTTGGTGTCATCACAGGCCACGGCATCTGTTCATGCGGCCGATGTGTTTGCCAGGAAGGGTGGTTTGGAAAGTTGTGCCAGTATTCAAGGAAGTGCAACATGACAGAAGAGGAGAGCAGAAGTCTCTGCGAGTCTGCGGATGGTGTGTTATGCTCAGGAAAGGGTAAGGACTGACAGCTTGTCTACTCCACAGCAGTGCCCTTGCAGAAGAAATGGTCAGGTTCTGGCAGACTAATGTGCATGAAATTGGACTGTTGTCTAGTAACTCTTTCAAAGGCACCTGTTATTAAAAGAATTTACATTTGGCTCCTCAATGCATTTACATCCATTTTGTCAAACACCCACTGCAGCCATACATGCTTAATGGCATTAATGTTCTATGCAGTTTGTTAATGGCTTATAATTTCCTTCATCTGTTTATCTGATACTTTGCATTAAGCAGCTGTACATTATAAACCAAATGTTAGCGCTCCATCTAGTCTGAGGGACAGAATGCTACCTGCAGTAACACTGCAGTAGGCAAGATGGAAAATGATATATCTCAGGCAAAAATAAGTTGAGGATAGAGCTTAGCAGAAACATTCGGTATGCTCAACCTCCCTCTGCCAGTGCAACAGTAAATGAAAGGTAGATATTGGTAGTCCCCATGGCAGAATCCAAGACATACTCTTATCTCCTAACTTTTATTAAGGTGGTTATGTCAGCTTCAGTCCAGCTGTAAAACTTTGCCAGAGGGAGAAATAAAATTTAAAAAATCTTGATAATTAGCTCAAATTGTTCTCTGAGGTTCTTACCCTGCAGCCTTTCAGGATGGCTAATTGCATTACTGGAAGGAGAGTTTCTTTGCTCCCCTTTAGTGCAAGCTGTCTCTTTTTTTAAAGTAATATAGCTAAAAGAGATGGTAAATGGGTGGTGAGATTAGTTGGAGGCTGGAATGCCCCCACTCAGAGATGGATGTGCCATCTCCTCTGTCCATATATCCACTGCATCGACAGTGATCATCTTACCTGTTAACTGGAGAAAACAGCTAAGAACCTTCTACATCAGGCAGAACTTAAATTGCCCCTTCCAGTAACTTTTATGCATATGGATTTTTCAGCCTGATCTTCTTCAACTGTTTATGCCTTATCCAAATTCCTCCCTGTTGTACAATTTTATTTATTTATTTATTTATTTATTTATTTATTTATTTATTTATTGCTGAAGTTGGTGCAAAGTCACGGAAAAGGAGAAAGTTGTGGTGTTTCACTATTACTTCTAGAGGATATAACTATCTATCTTTAAATTAGGGTACATGAAAGAAAATACTGAGTTTCTGCAGGACTGAAATTACTCTGTTGTAATACAGAAGCTAACTTTGCTCCTCATAGGCATGGTTTCCCTGTGATTCTTTATATAAACCATGCAGATGAGCAATAATATACACAATATCAGATTCTAAATAAAAGTGAAAATTAAAAATGATCTTGAATTTTAAAATATTTGCATTATCTGCCATCTTTTGGGTGGCTGAAAATTGCTTTTTCCAGCCTGTGGGTTTTTCTCCATCAAGTAACTTTGAGCTCATATATCAGGCAATATGTCAAAGTAAATTTGAGGCTTTGGGAGCAAATCACCTGGCAGGAACTTACAGAGACATCAAGAATCTTTTCTCCCCCTCTGTTGGCTAGACTGCCTGGGGAGGCTTGAAAGATGAGCCTATACCAATCTTATGAAGTTCAGCAAGGCCAAGTGGAAGGTCCTGCACCTGGACCAGGGCAATCTCAAACACGGATACAGGTTGGGAGGAGAATGGCTTCAGAGGAGCCCTGAAGAGAAGGGGCTGCTGGTTGGTGAAAGACTCAACATGAGAAGTCAGTATGTGCCCTTCTACTCTGCTCTTGTAAGATCCCAACTGGAGTACTGCATCCAGTTCCTGGGCCACCAACAGGGCATCGATCTGTTGGAGCAGGTCTAGAAGAGGGCCACGAAGATGATCAGGGGGCTGGAACACTTCCCTTATGAGGACAGGCTGAGAGAGCTGGGGCTCTTCAGCATGAAGGAGAGAAAGCTCCAGGGCACCTCATAGCAGCCTTTCAGTACCTGAAGGGGGCCTACAGGAAAGTTGAGGAGGAACTTTTTAGAAGGCTGTGTAACAACAGAACAACAGAAAATGGTTTTAAATTGGAAGAGAGTAGATTTTGACTAGATATTAGGAAGAAATTATTTACTGTGAGAGTGGTGAGACACTGAAACAGGTTGCCCGGAAAGGTTGTGGATGCCCCCTTGCTGGAAGCATTCAAGGCCAGGCTGGATGGGGCTTTGAGCAACCTGGTCTAGACGGAGGTATCCCTGCCTACAGCAGAAGGGTTGGAGCTAGATGACCTTGGAGGTCCCTTCCGACCCAAACCATTCTATGATTTTATGATTTTATACAATGACTTGGGTAATGATCTATTTCCCTTAGAGATGATGCTTGTGTTTCTTGTGAAAGACGTGAGAGTTTTAGTGACTTGGAGCACTGATCAAATCTACCTAACTGATGGTTATGGGACTCTCCCTCATGGGAGAAAAAGCTTCTGCGTAGGATCCTAAACCTTGTACTTTAGGTGAGGTGAGATAAAGCAGGCAGCAATTTCACATCCACTAGAATGAAGCTGTGATGAAGGCTGCTATCTCTTTTGTCTCTGAATGGGAAGGGGATCATCATAGGCAAAGAGAGACAAATTTCTCAAAACTTTTGTTTATGTGCTCTTATTATTATTACCTTATTAATATTCAGGCAAATCTATTCTTGATATTTAAAAATGTGCCTGGAAACCATGTCTTACTGAGTGCACATACTTTAAAATGTTCATAAGTACTGTGACCAGCTACGTCCAGAGGCCAAAAATGAGAAATTGTTCTTTCTTTTTTAGTGCATTAAGCAATAAGTAACCAAAACTGGTCAAAGAGAGAATGTAGAACCATGCACTAATGAGTTCTTTCAGGGTTTGTTATTTCCATCCTTGCTGGAAACCTAGCCAAGATATGGAAGAGCTATAATGGATTGAGGAATCTTGAACTTCTGTATGTTGCATTTAATAGTCTAAGAGTTCTGGTTTTTAGTAGATAAGTGCTGTAAACTTCCACAAAATTAAACTCTGTTAATATAAGCAAAGTTGAGTGTCCACATTCCTAGGCTACTTTGAAAATCTTGGCTCACTGACTATGCCACCTGTAGCAAAAGCTCTTCCCAAGGAAAACAGCAACACCCACCATGCTGCTGCCTCCCTAGCAGTAAATACAGGGCTGCAGATGGCTACTGTAGTGATGCAGGATGCAGGCAAGGTAATGAGCCAAATCCCATCTGAGAGGATCTGGCTGGGATCCCAGGAAACACCCCGCAACTCATTAGATTCGTTTTAATTAAACTGAGGAGGCTCCCAGAGCAGCATTCTGTTTAGGGAAAAGACTTGATACATAACCAATTTTACATTATGGAGCCTGATTTTCCTTGCTTGATTTGGTGTTAAATTTGCTGTATCTTCTGTACATCATGAACATTCATCAGGAGCAGCATCAATGACTGCTTATGCAGAATCACTTCAGGTTTCTAACAATGCCATGATTTTATTAACTATTTTAATGTCACTAAAATTCTCATACTGTTCTGTATGATATTCGGTTGTTTGTACATTCTAACTTAAATAAGCATAGACATCTGGTTTAAATGACACTCAAATATGTCTTAGGATAGCTCCTATAGAGCAACTGGGCAATATGTATGCAATTCTCCATTGCCCATTTGTGTAATGGCAATTTTATTCTTGTGGGAAATATCAGTCTTTTTCATGTCAGTGGCACAGTAGGCACTGAACTCATAGAAAAAGTAGATGCTTAACAAAATACTCCCATTCCCAAATGTTCCAAACGTTAATTCTTCCTGGACATGTTTACACATTCCACATGTTAAAACTTAAAACAACATTCCTCTAAAATTAGACAGAGATTTTTTTTTTTTCAATAAACAATGTAATTAATTATATTTTTAAATGAAAAAAAAAATAGATTTTCTGCTCTGCAGTTTTAAAGAATTAAGGTTCACCAATCAGAGATCCTTTGGAAATCCTAAGGAAAAGAAATGAGGAAAATTGGTTGGCATAAAAAGATCCACATTTAAGGAAAAATAACATATACTTGATTTTTTACCATGGATTTTATTCAGAGGTTGGTGAAAAGAAATGAAAGACAGCTCAGCTCCTTTTAATTAATCCATGAACTCTGTTTGTTACATACTGACAGAATCAAGTTCCTTTTTTTTTTTTTTTTTTTTAATAATACATTGAAGAAATTGGTGCCTTTGTACTATAACTGTGTTGAAAATATTGCAGGAAGGAACAATTTTCAACATCATCTGACTCATTCATAAGCATGTTCTGTTAAAGGTCAGCAGCTTTGGTAACTTTAAACTCAATTTTCCATAATTATAAGGTGTAAGTGTATTTTTTTTGTTGTTTATTTTTCAATTTCCTTTGTGCTGCAACTTCCTATAATTACCATCTATCTCCACAAAGAATTTTCCCTCTGCAATTGCTAAACTCCATGTCTGAACTCTGTGTAGAAAAGGAGATTCAGACAGCTGGGGACTGGCTCCATAAAAGCCATCATAAAAGCCATCTTTCTTCAACCGAGTGTTGTAGTTGGCCAGGTGGAATTTCTAGTTGCAGAATTCCAGTGGAGTTTCTCAGTACAGAAAAGCTTCCACAGGCTCTTCTCAAACTACAGGCTTCCCAATACACATTTGTCTGGTGGCAATTGTCCTTTTTCAGGATTCAGAGCCATGAATTTTCTCTTTACGATTGGGGTGTCTGAATTTTTCCTTAAAGGGAAGTTTTCGGTTCCAGCCTGCTTCTAATTGGATTATAGGTGGTATAACCTAGATGTCACTGAAGAGTCTTTCCTTTGGCTGTGGAGGTGTAATCTGATATGCAGGAACTCTGGATTCAACCCCGAACATCTCCACTCTTTTTGGTTTGGATATTACAAAAAAACTTCTTCACAGAAAGACTGGTGATGCACTGGCACAGGCTGACCAGGAAACTGGTGGACTTACCATCCCTGAAGGTGTTCAAGAAACATTTAGGTGCAGCACTGAGGGACATGGTTAGTGGGCATGGTGGGAATGGGTTGACAATTGGACTAGATGATCTTAGTGGTCTTTTCCAACCTTATAGATTCCATGATTCTATAATTTTATAATTCCCAAGGAGGTAGACAGCAGCTTAACCCAACAGGAACCTTAGCATACCCTGCAGGAGTGAGCAAACTACTGAACCACAGTTATGTGCACAAACACTTTTTGGCATAGAGCAAAAAGTTTGCAATTTCATGGGAGGTGCTGCATCTTAATTTGTGGTGATGGAGATTTTGGGGGTTCGAATGATCTCCATAGGAAACATCTCCAAGGACATTGGATGTGGAGTAGCAGTGGATCAGGGAGAATTTGAGCTCCTCCAGTAAAAAAAAAAAAAACCAGTTTATGTGAAAAGTGGCCCTGATTGTAGGTCTGAAACCAAAGGAAATCTTCAGAGTGTGAGTCTTGATTAAGTGAAATAGCAGAATCAAAGCATTAGCAGGAACGTTTTGCCATTCTCATGGTCACTTTGAAAGAATCCTTTTACTCAAAAAGCTTTTAGCTTTTAGCTTGATTATTTTCTTTCATGCAGTAGTTTCCCAGGCAGTAATTTTGTGCATGCGTCCGTGTGTGTGCACGTATGTCTGGAGATGTTATTTTCTAGCCTGAAAATGCCGATGCTCTTGGACTGTAAGTAATAATCTTTGTGATTTCAGGTTCCTGCCACTGTGGAAAGTGCATCTGTTCACCACAGGAATGGTACATTTCAGGTGATTTCTGTGAATGTGATGACAGAGACTGCGACAAACACGATGGTCTCATTTGCACAGGTGCAGTACAGGATAACTCTTAATTGCTCTAAGAAACAAGATGTATGATGAGAATTATGTTATACAAAGCCCATCTTCTTTCTCCACGTATGGAGAAACTGCATTTTCAGACGCAGTGTAATTGTTTCTTTATGAAGTATGATAATCAACTTAAGGTTTCAAATCAATTGTAGAAAGTCTGAGTGTGAATTTAAGTAAGCAAACAAGGTATTAAATCCATCAACTATTTTCATTGTGGTAGATCACAATTTACTCCTCCTTGTCAAAGAATGTACAGTGAAAGCGCTGTCATCATGAGATTTCTTCAAGTTTAAATTTTCTCTGTCTGTAATATACTTAAGTAATAGAAAACATTCACTTGCTTGATGATCTTTGTTAGATGAGAGATATAGCTATGCTGGGCAAGGGATCTTCTGGCAATCATAGCTCTTAGTGGGAGGCTAAAATACCTGACAGTTTTTCTTATGGTGTGGTGGCCACTGATTAAAGCGAAGTCACCCTAACAGTGTCCAAATGCTTGGGTGGCAGGTGCAAAGAGACACGGGCAGGCTGTCAGCAAACTCTCATGACAACTCTTGTGACAAGTAGCAACATGAGAATCATTAAATTAACTTGCTGGCTACTTCCTGTTACAGATCTTAATTTTAGAAAAACTTTGCTGAGCAATTATTAGATGTGGAAGGAATCTGTGAGATAATTAGAGTCAGAGCAGGGAGGTTGACACTAGTAATGCTGTTCACAAATGTGGTCTCCCAGCACACCCAATTAGCAAGTGGCTTTTTCTGGGGCAAGTAGCCAGTACAGAGGCAACAGGAGCCTGAGCTGAAGGTCATTCACAGACCTTCATAAAGTTGATATCAAAAGCAGCACACAGTGGAAACCCAGGATGTACAAGTCTCCGGCTGAGCATCCTGGAGTCATGAAAAACACCGAAATAAATTGAAAATCTGGGTCTGAGTACTTAGTGTTTCTATCTGCAAAACAAGATAAATGCATTTCTCATTTAATAGTGAGCTTGAGATATTATTTATTTGTACAGCATTTCTGAGAATTTAGGCTTAAAGATTATTAGGTTCAAATGTTTATTACTGTTCTGTTCATAACTTTTTATCTCTGCATTATAGTTAAATATATATATATATTTTTCTTGTACATTAAAGTACAGTGTGAACAGTGAGCTTCAACAGCTGGGTGCAAGTAGTAGAAGCATAATTACAGTACTTGCAATTCTGCTGATGAAAGAATGCTATTAATTCTTCATAAGTGTAGGCCTGAGGTGGCTTCTTAATGCAATGACACAGTAATTATGCTTCCTTGCAAAAAAAAAAAAAAAAAGTAGTGGAATGATAAAGAAACAATGCAGCTACTTTATCATGGTTTTTACTTTCCATAAGACACATTTTAATGTAGCGCATTTCAATTATGATAATTGCCATTTATTCATTCTGTTCTAGGTAATGGTGTTTGTAACTGTGGAAACTGTGAGTGCTGGGAAGGATGGAATGGAAACGCTTGTGAAATCTGGCTGGGAACAGAATACCCTTAACAAAGGACACCAGAGACTGAGGGTTCTTTTAGTTTGATTTTTCTTTAGGCTGCTAGAACATTTAATTTTGGAAGTACTCAGAGTGTGGGTGTGGGTGTGCAGAGTTGTAAATACTCTGGAACTGCCATGTGAATGCCTGCTCCTTAGAGAAATGAATAGCAAAACAAAGCAAAACAAAAACAACAACAAACGAACAAATCATTTGGGAGCAGGACAGTCCAAGCTCTAAAAACTAAAATCATAAAAAAAAAAAAAAAAAAAAAAGGCCCTCCACAATTTTTTTATAATTTCAATGAGGCTGAGATTGCACCCATTATGTCTGTTTCTTAAGCAATCTTTGGACAAAATGAAAGAAAGTCATTTGTTTTTACATTATACTTTCAGTTTTCAGCTCTCCATATCAGTATGCAACAGTATTCCTGTAGAAGAATAGCACTAGTTGTCAGATACTTCATTTGATATATTTTATGGTGTTTGTCAAAAACATTGTTTGACTCTTTTCTTTCCAAATCCTGATTATGCCCCAGCTCCAGAAGAAGCATTAAAGCAATTCATCAAGTTTGTTGGTTTTTTTTTTTGTTTGAGAATTGAGAATTGAATCTATGTAACTGATGTTCCATTACCTCACAGCCATTGGCTGAAGACTCAAAATGTTTGAGGAGATCCTTGTCCACAAGATAACTTCTGAGTTACTATGGTTAAAGAGTCAATAAGTTGGTTATCCATTTTAACATTCTACAATACTGTCAAACGCATAACGTGTAGAAGTATAAGGAACTAAACTAATAAAGATATAAATGTATGATTAGCTATTCCAAATATGTATCCTGCCACTCATATGTATTTTTCTCATACTGTTTTATGTATGTATAGTTGCCTAGTCCTCTTGAAAGTAAAGCAAATGAGAATTTGTTATACTAATAACTTTTAGGACAACAACTCCGTATGCTATCAGAAATCACTGTTTGGAACAGATTGCACTGTCACATATGGTCTTCATGAAATTTCAGTGTTTTCAAAGTCAGAGGCCTGAAGGTCAACTGGCTTGAAAAATCAGCAATACTGGGCAATAGCCAAAGAAGCTCAAACAATGACAATAAAGTAATTAAAGTTTTAATACAATAAATACAAACAAAGCACTGGTATGAACAAAATTTTATTTTTATTTTTCCAATGGTGAAATGCTGCTCAGTGTGAAATTCACATTGAGTTATGAAAGATGCACAACTATTGGGACTTCCCTAACTTATTTACATATGAGTCTCTCTCTCTTTTTTTTTTTTTTTTTTTTTTTTTTTTTTTTTTTTTTTTAATACATGTAGATTTGGCAGCCCTTTAATTTCTTAGAGCAAAAAATAAAAAAAAAACAACATACATTTTAATTTCAAAAATGCTTATATTTTGTGAAATCATGATTGAGCAAGAAATTGCTTAAAAGTTTGGAAAGCATTTATTTTTAATATCAAACTAACATTGTAGTTTAGGTGCCGAGGTTCTGATTTTTGAAGAGGTACATGACTCAGAAATAAGGGAACTATGTATCAACTGAAAAGGCATTTTCATTATTATTCTAGAAATCTGTTTTCTTTTAGAAAGGACAATTTTGGAATAGCAAAATACAATGATATAGAACACATAACAGAATGCAAATTTTTTAAAATGAATTTATATAACCATTTTCATTATTGCCTCTTCCCATGTAGCTTTATCTTTCCCACATTTTTCCTTAACCTAGATTCTTCCTTTCTAAAACTGAAGCTTGTGAAACCTATGTTCTCAGGGTGGCACAGTATAATCACCAAACATTTTTGCATGACTTATATAGGAGTTAATCACAGAAATACTGGGTCACATACGCCAGAGCAGTGAACTACCTTCTTTTAGGTAGCCAAAATGTCAGATAGAGTTCTAAAGTATACTGATACAATATTTCAGAACTTCAAAGTAAAATTCATATTGAAATAATTATTTATAATTTATACTTATAACCCTTAAACTGTTTATGGCTGAACAGGAATATTCAGAATTAAATTCTACCAAAATTTCATCTTGTCAGCCCTGCTGCCTGGACAGCATGGATTGTTGGGTTTGTGTTTAGGACTATTGCCCACCTGAATGCTCTCTGTGCTTCTTTCACATATACGTTCATCTGCTGAGTCAGAGAGTAAACAGTGAAAAATACAGAAAGTTGTACTTTATTTCCTTCCATTCATATTTGGTACTGTAACAACAGAAATATTAGATAATCAAAACTCTTCTTTAGACTCAGCAGATGTTTTTTATTTGTTTTCTGGTATGACAAACACATTTTTACATACTGTAGATCAGCTTTGGCATTCCAGGCACTCGTATCCAGACAAAGAAATAATTCTTTAGAGGGTTACAACATCCTATTTGAAGCATTTTACTTTGTAGTTTTCTTTCATTTCAAATTTATATACTTAAGGAGGGTAAGATGAATCTTTCTTACAGTTTAGTTTAGTTTAATTTTGGTTTAAAAATGGACTTTAACATTTTGGCTACTAAGTGAGTTCCATAGCCATAGAATTTCAAAAAGTACTTTCCACATTCTTCTTAAGGTACATATGGAAAATATCAGCAAGTTCTAAGACAACTACCATCAGTGGCTAATTAAAATGTAAGTTATCAAACCAAATGGTGCTATCATTATAAACCTTATATTTTCTAAGACTACTAAAATATAATGAGTACATATTCTCCTCTCCACTTTTTATTCTGTTTCTTATATTGTTGCCTGAACACTTCCCCAGTCCCCTTCATGCTGAGGTAACTGGAGATGGGGCTCTCAGCCAATCTCTTTCTGCATCTTGTTTCCTCCCTAGGAAAATGAATACGGAAGGAATACAACTATTACTCTGTGTAAGTGAAAATAATAGTGGATTAATAAATTGTGATTTTGTTACACCCATTCCCTGTGACAGGAATTCCAGATACATAAACAGTAAAATCAGGAAGAGGCACAAGGGATTGAAACATACTGGCTGGATAATTGCATGAAGCTGTAAAAGCTTGCTTCCAAGGCCTGTGGCAAATGGCATTTGTAAGTGCTGAAAACAAACTGGATAGATGGGGATTTCATAACAGCTAGGTTGATGAAGCTTAAAACAAAAGATATGATAGCCTTGCTTTCTTGTGATAGAAAGAACAAAACCCAGAATGAGGCAGAACTCTTCTACAGGTGACTTGCAGGAGTATGCCTACTTTGCATAACATCAGTAAAATCATCTCTAAAACAGCCATAGATTGATTTACTTCTGTAAATTATTGATCCTCTTGATCCTTTTTCCCCCCCTGGCCAAACGCTCTTACAGAAACACACAGATGAACAGTTAATCACGTACCCGCTCTGATATTTCTGATGTGCTGCCCTTGTTTCCTGACAAAACATCATCTCACTTTGTAACTAAATGGCATTGGGTTAAAAAATCTGAGTATTTTTGTCTCCAGGTAATAGAAGGAAGATTTTACTGCATCTTTAAAAATAAGTCATAGGATTTGGATGAGTCACAAAAACAAACCCAACACACACAAAAACCTGTTATTAGATGTTCTAAAATGCATTGCACAGCATATGAATTTATCCAACAATAAATTTATAAGAAAGATAACCTCTTTACTTCACCTAGTCTCACTTGCATTCCCATCTGAATGGAGTTGACTAATTTCTTATTTATACCAATAAACGGATGGTTCAGCAAGACACACTTTTAATGTATGGACCAAACTGCCTGCATTCACACTTCATCACTTACCGTGGTCTTAAACCAAGAGGGAAGTTTCCCCATGTATGTATGAAAAACCAGAGTTCTTAGTGTTGTTTCAGGTAAATACCAAAGTCAAATAGAATTGCTTTACATTTATATTTGGGGTTGTTTGTTAAGGATCAACCTGACTCTACACACATTAAATTTATGGAAACAATTCTAAATTAAAAAATACTATTTGAGAGCAACTAAAAATAAAACCAGTACATGAAGGAACGTCTGTGTATGTGTACTACAAAAAAATGTAAAAGCTATGGACACCTTTTTACAGGCTCTACAGCATGAACAATTTTTAAAATATTCAAATGCCTGTGTATTTATAAAATATTTGAAGTACAACAGATCAGTGCTATTCTGAACTGGATTTTTGAAACTGCACAGGTGTGACTGGTTTTGCCAAATAAAACCTTAGCTGAACTACAGATTAAAAAAAATGTAAAGAGATGATTATGAGCAGCGTTAACATATCTGTCCACTATGGAATTGTGAGATGAAGTTAGATTGCACTGCAAACAGTATCTGTGAGAGTAGGTACAACCCAGAAGGAGAACAGAATACAAAGCAAGTGTGCAAAGGATCTGGAACGCTGCAGATTCACAGACATCTGGACATGTAAGTACAAAACAACCTGTAAGTACAAATTGATTCCATCAGGTTTACCATACAGTATGTTGGTAGTAATAGACAGATAGTTGAAAACAGCTTTCACTTAACAGCAAAATTAATTTTGGAAGGAACAAAATGGTGTCATCTCATCCTGGAGAACAGCAAGAGAGGTATTATATTAAAGGAGCTAAAATTTTCTTTGGCATGGTAAAAGGGGAGAATTGAGTTTGCCAAAATATTTACGTGAAGTTTCACCATACTGTGGCGAGTGCAATCATGTTTTGCACAGTCTACTTCTTACATAAACTTTTTTGTTGTTTATCAGTATGCCTTCATATAAATGTTTTATTCATCATGTTCAATCTGTGTATACAACAAATAATAATAAAGACAAACTGTACAATGCAGACAAACTCTTTGCATATATGTATGTAAATTCAGTAATACAGATGAACAAGTCTTCAATACACTCAACCTATTGCATGCAGTTCATCCTTGCCATCCCCTTCCCATGCAACGGACGAGACAAGACAAAATGAAAAGGAGGAAACAAAGCACAGAAACCCCTTTTCCATGTTTAAACAGATTGTAGAAAAAGAAATAATTTTTAGGACAACAATTCATTGTATTAAACACACATATGCATTTAGACCACAGAAACAAAAAGAGAAATTAAAAATATTATGGTGCATTTTCAGTATGTATGAACTGCTTACGGAAATCAAATCCTGCCTTAATTGTAGCCCCCTAAACTGCAAATTATCATTACCTGGCATCAAAAGTTTAATACTGGAAACAGTACTTATGTAGCATTAGGCCACGAACCAGAGGCTCCTTGCAAAGCTCAGCCAACTGTCCAGTTCTGTCTCTCCCTAGGCTCTTAAACCAGCGAGAGTAAAGGGACAGCTGGATTGGACATGAACTCTTATTCCCTCCTCAGGAACTCTTAAAAAACCTAAGTGAGAAAGGGAATGTAGCCTTCAGTTGTATTACCCTACTCAAAATAATTTTGAATCGTTGCTTCTAAGGGACCCAAGAAATAGGACAGCATAAAGGGTACTGCCTCCCATGGGCCCTCCTAATGCAGAGCAAGCCCACATCACATAATGTGAGTTGCTTTGGTTTTGTTTTCTCAGGTATGATGCACAAATCCCACTGGACCAGGTGGGATGAGAAGTGTGCAAGAGATTTTTATTTTTTCCACACGTACATATTTAGTGGTGGCAGGCAAGGGCACAGTCTAAGTTAAAGTTTCTTTGCATTTTTTTTATCACAGTAGTAAAGTAGTTCTGCATTATTATTATTATTATTATTATTATTATTTACATTCCCTTCCTGGAAAGACCCTAGAATCAAGTGTTAGCTTGCTGTTCCTGTATCACATATATAACCAAGGAAATCTGGCCTACCAAAACAATCCAGAACTTAGCAGCTTTATAGTAGCTTCCTTGAAGAACAACTAAAAATTGCTTATAAACCACATTTGAAAACTAGCATGGAAAGTTCATTAAGACTGAATAAGTTACTCAGCTGAGCAGATAGGGAGTCTGAAATGACCACTAGACTCTTCCTGTTAGAGACACTTCAGAACAAAGACATGATAAAATGAAGTACGAGAAATACAATAGTAAAAAAGGAATGGACAATTTCCTCTTTTTCTTTTTCTTTTTTTTTTCTTTTTTTTTTTTAATCTCTAAATATCAAGATAATAGGTAGAGGCCAAGAGAGTGCTATCACACAGTTCTCCAGACTGAGGCACAGTTTGGTCCTTGTTGCCCTTTCTGAGAAACAAATACCTTCATAAACATACAGACAGCACCCACAATCCTATTGTCTGAAAGCACGTGACTAAATATGTAACATGTCAGTGTCATTTCTGTGGTATTGTCTATTTTTTTTTTCCTTGTAAGATTGGTTTTATTGTTCACAAGCGACAAACTTAAAGTGTTGATGGTGTTTCTCATGATATGAGCCAAGGCTTCAATTTTATGTTTTTGATTTTGTCTAGGTTCATGTAGAAGAAAGTACAGTATACAGAGATCAAGGCAAGGCACCTTCAATCTATCAATTTGGTGAGGATATTATCCTAGGAAGCTGGGTAGAGGTACGTACTGGAATATCAGTGAGATACATAGGACTGGATTTTGCATGCTTAGCTAAAAATAAAAATAAACTTTTGTAATATGTCCAGTTGTAAAACTTTTTTTTTTTTTTAAAACACCAGAAAAACTATAATTTTTAACTACTCTTTGCATTGGTGCTGCAGAAAAGAACACAACAACATCCTTGCCCATGCTTTGCTAAGTAGGTGTGGAAATCAGCCAAAAATAACAATGGCATTAAATTCAGTTCCTTAAAAACAGAAAAGGATTATATTCAAAATGGATATAGGTAGCGCAATTCTGGTTAGTCTTAACTGTTTTTTTATTGGTGGTGGTAGTTTTTCAAACAATGAAGCTTTAGTAGATGAAAAATGAGCCTTAATTCAGGCCTACAAGGCCTACAAAATTCTTTGGACCCACTTTCCCAAAAATGAGTGGGTCTTGCTCGCTGGGCAAGGCAAATGTTACCATTACCAGTAAGCCTGTGATATGTATAAAACACACACACAAAAAGAAACTATAGGGGGATGCCAAACACTCATTTCAGAAAACTTCCCATTGGTTGTGTTTGACACTCTTCCCTCCACTATAATGCCAACCTCAGAAGCACAGTATCTGTTACTAGAGAGTATTCACATTGATCAGCATTGTAAGCCAGAGACAACGATCCTATTCTTTATAGATATAATTTGTAATTATAGATTTTTGAAGGCTTCCTGATTCCCTGATTACTTTCAAAACTAAGCCACCGGCAACACTTAAAGTTATAGAGAAACACAATCCCTGCAAAAGGTCACAGACAGTGGAGCGAGCAGCCTTATAAAAAAGGGAAGAAGAGAAATCCATAATAGCACAGGTTACAGCATCTACCTAGAAATTACTTGATTATTTGTGTGCTACAAAATAGAACTTAAACACATGGATTTTGCTGAAACTGGACTCAAAAAGGGATTATGGGTAATCGTCAGCAGGCAAGGTATCAAGTGTACTTGTGAAGTATGTCATTCACATGAAGTGTCACAGTCACAGAAAAGATATTAAAAAGGCATTCCAATATCTGGTAGGGCATTCCATGGTCTGAGTTTAGCTGGTTCATCCAGGTGTCTTCTCATTGTGGGTGGAGCTACACGTTGAGCTTTATCCGCTTGCAATGATTCAGTTCAGAACCAGCCACGTGCCAGGATGCCATTTGCTGCGAGCTGATCCACAGACACTGCAGAAGGGAAGTCTGGCAAGGATAAATTGCTCAACTGCACTCGGGACTCAGTAAGTCACAACACCTGTGAGGATCTGGCTATGTCGTCTTACTCTTGTTAACTGGTGGTTTGCCGCCATTCATTATTGCAGACGCACTTGTGCTTTTACTTGGAGTTACCCCAGCCTTTGGCACTGTTTCTCCAATATCATGCAAAGATGGTTCTCGATACATGGCAACTGGAAGGAGAAAAGAAAGAAAGAAGCATTTTTAAGAACATGTCTAATTTAAGAACATATCTCAAACAGGATTATCTACAGTAACTAGTAGTTTTTTTTGCCCCATCCCTGGAGGCATCAAGGCCAGGCTGGATGTGGCTCTGGGCAGCCTGTTCTAGTGGTTAGCGACCCTGCACATAGCAGGGGGGTTGAAATTCAATGATCATTGTGGTCCTTTTCAACCCAGGCCATCCTATGATTCTATGATTCTATGATTCTAATATACTTCATGTTTCTCTTGCATGATGGGAAACTATTTACTTTCACAGCTACTTTGCATGACTGATATCTTTGCTTGACCCTCTGAACTTCCCACCTCTACCATATCTGTCTTAAAAACAGCAGGAAACTGTATGCTCACCTGTTAAAAGGAACTACTGAAACCTCAGAAATTAGAAAATAAAGTTATGTATTTATATGAGACAGACACAAAAATATGCATATATTCTTATATACTCATTTTATGTATAATCTTTAAAAAAAGTATTTTACGATTTTTTAGAAGTAAAATATCACAGAATCACAGAATCACAGAATCGTAGGGGTTGGAAGGGACCTCCAGAGATCATCGAGTCCAACCCCCCTGCCAAAGCAGGATCCCTACACCAGGTCGCACAGGTAGGCGTCCAGGCGGGTCTTGAATATCTCCAGAGAAGGAGACTCCACAACCTCCCTGGGCAGCCTGTTCCAGTGCTCCGTCACCCTCACCGTAAAGAAGTTCTTGCGCACATTGGTGCGGAACTTCCTATGCTCCAGCAAATATGAGTTGTCTGGATGCAAACACCTTTTTTTTTAGCCCTACATTGCAAGACTGGGCTTGAGACCAGCTAAGAAAAATTATTTGTACACGTGGATCCCAAGTCCAAGGAGCATGGTTATAACCTCTTCAGGTTATAGCTGAAGAAGTGTTTGGGACTGTTCTGCAGAGTCCACATGAAATTTGGGGGTCTGGTTCTTCCTTTTCAAAAAAGTATGCAGTACACACTAAGCTACACTGAATGCAGTGCAGAAAGCTCCAAACTAAACTACTAACTGAATTTTTAGATGAATTAAAAGTTTGCCCCTGTGTTTCATTCTCTATGTAACCAGTTTAAATCCTTTGAGGGAAATATATGTGTTCAATTACACAGTTCCAGCTTCCTTAATGATTAATGCTCTTGGATAATTCAATTCCATTTTCCATGTCAGTGATTCAGGTAATATTTCCACTTACATCTAACTTCAGTAGCCTTTATTTATATCAGAGCAGTGTTAAAAGAGATATCAAAGCAGTCAAAGGAATTAATCACCACACTGACTTTGGGTTTTGCTCTGTGCTGCCACAGAGAGCACAAATCTTTAATCACTTCGCTTATTAAAGTAGGAGGCAGGAGCATCAAAGTATTGGCACTGGTCTTCAGTAGTGTGGGGTTTCATAAGAAAAATGGAATTTGATAAGTAATCAAATACTTGTTCTAACATTTCCAGTAACATAATCTAAATCCTTTTATGGCCTATGAAAGTCTGAAATTAATGATCTTCTCTGGAGTATCTAAGGCTGATTATGATTTTTGTCTTCAGGGTGAGACCCCAGAAATATGTTAGGAACGCTTTTCTTTGCTGCTTAACAAAGAACTTGATGAAGTAGCACCATGACCTACAAAAATATTAAGTCAAATAGTATGAGATAAAACTACAAGGGGCTATATATCAGAGGTGTAACATTTTAAAATTCTCATAAGCAATGTAAAATACTTATTCCTATGCCTGGCCTAGATATTTTGAAACCATTTGAGTCCAAACATTAATGGAAATGGTTGTTTCCTCTCTAACAAATTGATGTTTACTTTAAAAATGCACTGGGTCTGGCTTACATCAGAAGTGTTGAAAGTTTGTGAAAATACAAAAAACATTCTGAAATGACGGAAGAAAAAAGGCATCATCCTGAGTTAAAGTTAAAAATAGTATTGTTCAGAGTTTCAGAATAAAGGAGCAATCTAACATTAATAAACTCATCCCCTAATCAAAACTTCTAAAGTCAAAATAATTAAAAAAAAAAAAAAAGAAAAAAGAAAATAAAAGAACTGGACTGTTAATTAAAGTATTATTAGTGTGGGAATTTAGATGCTAAGTAAGTAGGTAATTTTTAGAATTAAAAACTGAGGCTATACGTAGCAATTATCTCAGTGAAATTTGGAGTGCTGACAGAACAGGACACAAAAAGTGATGTAGGTTAGAGGTGGCCTGCAGAATAAATAGATAAGTCATAAATAGATCAATCATAATCCAGGAGAAAAGCAAATGTGTTTTCCAAGGAATGTGAGACATCATTTTAGTGTGTAAGGTTAGTACAGCTTTCATTTGCATCTACCTCGCTTCAGTTGTCAACTTACACAAGTTATGTATATTACATCTACTGGCTAAGTAATCAAGTATGATCTGTTTTATAAACAGACTGTTGTGTTTTGCATTAAAAAGCTTTTACCTTGAAATACACTTCATCCATTCCATTTATAACTCTGAATTATCCCACAATGTCCATTTTTTCATTCTGATTGGAAGACTCACAACACTTTTTGCTGCTAGCAAGAGAATATCTTAAAGGTGACAGAATACATATCCACAAAAGATTTCTTTTCTTGTAAAATGACCTCCTAATCCCTTCAAAGAATGTTTTTAGATATGCCCTTTCTAGTGTCATTATGCCTAAGCACAAAACTGCTCCATGAATCCTGGGGACTGTCATTTGGAATGGCTTCTGTGCACGGAACACACATTCATAAAGATTATTTTAGAAAGTATTCCCTTTTCTTTTCCTGAGATTTATAGGAAGATCTGCCAGTGATGGACTGCATCTCACCTTCCAATGGCTTGGGTAGAAAATGAGCTGCTGGTTTTGTTTTCTTGACTCTGTTTCCTTTCATGACCTGCCCTTCCTTGTTCAGACCTAAGAACCAGGCCCTTCCGGACTCCTGTTGTCTGTAGAGCATGGATGAGTAGATTACATAATAATTTTCAAAAACAGACTCCTTGAATTTGCACTCCGGTGTAAAAAGTTCCTGTGGGAGGAAAAGTAAATGTTAAGCGGTATCTCTGAAGTGCTGCTTCTGTTTTGACAATCCACAAACACCTTTACATTAGTTTAATGTATGACTTATAGTAAGGTTCCGTTTTGAGACCAGAAAATCTATCTTCCTATAGCTGACCTCCAGGTGAAGTTATTTCACCTCTCACCACTTCTCTTCTCCATCTTGCAACAAGGATAGCATATTTTGAAAGTACAGAAGAGACACAACCATAAAAACACTTAAAAATACAGGCATAATTATTCTCATGTTTTTCTGAAAGATTATCCTTGTTTTTATTGAATTAGAATGTCTGTGCTAAAAAAAAAACCACAAACATTGATGATAAAACTATTTTTCAGTTGTAACATGCTTGGTAGATTTAATAAAAGCAATAAACTTCCTCTATGTATGTTTTACAATAGTTAATATATACTGCTTAAAAATAGCTGTTAATAATATATTTAAAAATATATAATTTCCTAGAGTAGGCATGGTTTGAAACACCGTAGGAAAGTGCTGTTTTGATATGCAAATTCCTATACAAATAATGTTATTCCTATTGACTTTTTCATCGTTCATCTCATTATTGCTTATGTTTCCAGACGTCACATTCACTGAACCCTTTATTAAGGTTAACTTGAGCACAAACTTCTAGAACCCAGCAGCCAAATTAGTTTGATTTTAAATAATACAAATAAATAGTAATAAAAGTGTGAACATATATTGAGCACTTTACCTGAGTCCTTTAGAAAAATAAACAGCTAATAAAATTACCTTTTCTTTTCAAAGGTGAAAAAAAAATTGCACTTTTTATGATGACAAAATAGAATTATGTGTGAATGTAGATAATTTTCAGTCTTTGGACATGTCTGTTGAAACCTGTGAATGATAATCCTATCATAATAGGAGGAGGTGGAAGCAGGAAAGTGGAAGGCGACTTCACAAATCCCTTAGCCCTGAATCCGCTTTTCCTTTTTGCACTTATATTTCCTTCAGTTACTTCTCCTAAGAATTAAAATTCTGGAAATATCATCTATTCACACTCTTCCATTCAAATTAATTTGGTTTGTTTGTTTCTTTTTTTCTTTTTTTGTTTCTTTTTACTACTGGCCCAGTACAATACTGAGCTAACTCTCAGTAGTTGTTTTCTGGGTCTCTATCTCAGACCCAGATGACTCTGTATTGTAAGGATTTCACAGCTGTTTTTGTCTCAACAGGTTTCCTTTCTGGAAAACAATGTCCTTAAAGACACAGATCCCCGTAAGGGAAAGCAGAGATGGAAATACTTTTCTTTATCTGTACTATGTATCACTCCATGTACCAAGAAGTTTTCTTCTTATGATAAGGGGCATACAGTATTCATATTGTTATGGCTTACACTATAACTTGTAAACAAAGCTATCTTACCTTATGCCAGGTATACTATTAGTTTTCTCAACTATGGAGTACTTGTTAGCATCAAATAAAAAGAATTGATGTATCTTCTTCAAAAACATATTAACAGCAGTTATTGCAGCAGCCAGAAAATAACCTGGAAACCTGCCTTAAATCAGGTGGTTTTCTCTGTGTGAGCAAATACGTTTAGTATCTCCACGTCAGACTCATTTACAGATGCAGAAGAAATTCTCTGATGTGTGCAATGGCCATTTTTTTGCACCACCACTTCTTTACCACCTATGTGTCCAGCTATATTTATATATGCATACAGAAATGCAAATACAGTCTGAACTAGAAGTGCTGAAAACTAACGAGAGGAAAATTCTTAACGGCAACTTCTCCTTTGCTACAGGGTTTTTCTCCTTCTGTTCCAAGATGTCTGCTGTTTGTGCTGCTCTCCTTCCTCTTATGCTGATTTCAAATCACAGCAGGGCTCAAGGAGACTCAAAGCCACAATGCAGGGTGGCAGGCTAGAGGGAATGCCTGCTGAACTCTTGCACAGGCATTTACATGCAAGTCGTGTTCCTCAGCTGTTGAAACAGCAGATGCTAATCAGGATTTGCCTACATTGCTTACAGAGATCTCCTCATTACCTGCTTCACTGCAAAAGCTACCCCCTGTGCTTCACACTGCATTTTACTTCCTTGTAAAGCTCAATTACCATAAACACTACTTAGCCAGTAGTCACTTCTTGCTATAAACAAAAGCTATTTGTCATTCTCAGCTCCTCTGTACTAGAGATGGGTGGTTGCCTGTGAGTGGTATTTCTGTGTTTTTCCAAATAATATCCATTAGGATACTTAAACAATATTCCTTAAAATAGTATGTCACCTTTGAATCAAACTCCTTCTTTTCTTTGGCATGTAAAACAGTTTCTCTGACAGTGCACAGGGGACAAAACTTCAGTTATTTTGCTCTACCAAGTCAAAACAAACAAACAAACAACAACAACAACAAAAACACCCTATTTCAATACAATTACTAGTCTATTGGATGTAGACTGATAGACAGGACAAACTGGAATCACTACCATCCCACAGTTATAAAAAGCAAAGTAATAGTCTGTTGGGCTTTTTTTGTTGGTTGTTGGTTGGTTGGTGGAATGATAGAATCCTGCCCCAAATTATTGTAGCTATCCTGTTCCAGATGGCTTGATGCTACAGCAACTTTGTTCAGGGTTTTCATTCATCCAGTATTAGGATGCAATTCTGCCCAGGATAAAGTTGGTCAAAAAGTAACTTAAATATATGCTACATTAAAGCATGCTAATTGTTCCAGTGTTGTGGAAAGTGTTCATGAATACTAAGCACCTGTTGGTAACAGTACTGAAATATAGCCACTGATTCCTCTGAGAATTACTCTGGAAGGGGCTTCTGAAATAAGCACCTTCCAGGAGTGGAATATTTCTAACAATGATTTCTGCAGACAATGTCTTATATGGCTAAAAAGCTGTTAGCACCCATATTTTCTCCGGTAAAGCAGCCATGGCACCTAAAGCACTGCTTCTGCATGTACCTAGGCCAAATTTAGCTCTACATACCTAAATCTCAATCTAGTAATAATTCAGAAAGCGAGCATCATGGGCTAACCACTCTGCCTTTAAAAAATCATTTACATTTCATTTTATGTGAAGTCATTATTAGAGGAAAAGGCAGTTACATTTTGCCAGTCCAAAGAGCCTATTTGTTTAGAGGCAGAAGAAATATAAATCTTGAGAGATGTGGTTGACTTGAATCATTTAGATCTTCCCTTCAAGAATGACATCTTCAGTTTTAATTGCAGGACAATCTTTCCATTTTGTATTAGGAACTCTATGTACTGCAAAACCAGACATGACTTGCAAACAAGAACTTGTGCTCAGGATATTTATTCCAAGGTCAGTGCCCAGATTTAACATGTAATCTTACATAAAAGTTGGTTTACTTCTGTCAAAGCAACATCTGAAAAATAAAGTACATGCCAGATGCCAATTTCCAAAACCCCAGGATAGGTCTCTGGCTGTAAACTTCAATCATATACAGCTTCCTGGGTCCTAGGGAAGAGAAGGATGGATTAAATTGCACCTTGATGGGAAGAACTGTCACTTGGACATTTGTGCTAGCTTCCTAACAAGTTATTCTTAATGTGAATCATATTTGGCGATGTAATAATTCTCCTGGTAGCTGTGGAGTTAATAAGTATTATCATTCACAAGTTGTGGGTTCTCTCTTGGGATCAAAGTGTTTTACCATTGGGGAGTCCCTAGTTTTGGGGCTCCTACAAGTGTTGCCAAAACTTATAATTGTAGTATCATGACATAATATGTAGGTAACTCCACAAGTAATGCCTCCTATTTATTTCCACGGAAACTATAACTGAAACAAAGAATACAAAAAACATTATTTGATAGAGGAAATTCTCAGCTACAAAACACTATTTTTCAACATCATTACCACTATTAGCTATGCATTTTTGGCAGTGATGAACAAGACTCTGAACCAATGAAGGTAACCCACTGTTTCACAATTGCTGTAACAGCTTCATTGCTAGGAAACTGTTGCCCATACAGTCCATCTTTCATTGGCCCAAACAGATGGAAGTCAGAAGGCACAAAGTCTGGACTACACGATGAGGACAGTCCAGCCAAGACTGGCAATGTGCTTCACAGTCTTCACGTGGCTATGGGGTCTGGTCTTACATATTTCAAGAGAAAGGTTGCTTTCTTGCTAATGTCAATCTGGAAGTTTGAGTCTTCTGCTTCACATCACAATGTAACTGTCAGAGTTGATGGTTTTTCCATGTTCCAGGAAATCCAGAAGGATCATTCCTTTCATGTCCAAAAGACAGTGCACATTACTTCATCTGCTGAGGGCTGTGTCTTGAAATTTTTATTTGATGGGAAATTCACATTGCCACTCCATGAGCTGCTGTTTTGGCTACAGTTCATAGTGGTGACATCACATGTCGTCACTGGTAATGATGAAATTCAGGAAATTGTCACTTTTAGCTCCGTATTGTTTCAATAGGTCCTGACAGACTTGAATGTAGCTTTTCAGGTCTCTGACTGCAGGAAGTGACTGAGCCTGTTGCTGCCTTTGGAGGGTAGCAGGGGTAACACCTGCATGAAGTGGGAGATATGCTCAGCATGGTGGCAGAACTCAAAGAGGAGGTGAAGAGGTTTAGGAGCATCAGGGAGTGTGAGCAGGAGATGGGCTGATGGAGTAACTTCCTGCCATAACTATGAGAAGTGCACTGGGGTGATACATCCCAAATAGTGGTGGAACTCCCTGCTCTGTTGCTGTCAGGCAGAGAGAGGGAACATAAGAGATGGGGAGGAATGAAAACAGATCTCAGCTTGATGTTGCAAGAAATGCCTCTCACTATGTACCTCAATTCTCCAGGTGACCCTATGTAATAGGACTGAGGCTCTGGATCTCAAGGGAACCAGATGCGGTGGAAGGTTTACTCAAGAGATTGTCTAGGATGAGGCAATTAGTTCCATGCCTCAAGACAGACTCCACCAAGAAGGAAAGAGTGGTAGTTGTCATAAATGACTCCTTACTGAGGGGAACACAAAGTCCCATATGTCAGCCAGAACCTACCCATAGGAAAGTGTGCTGCTTTCCTGGTGACATTATTTAAAAACTTCCTGATCTGATTCACTCCTCTGATTATTACCCTTTACTAATAGTTCAAGCTGGCAGCAATGAAGCTGCTGAAAGAAGCCTGAGGGCTATTAGAAGCATCTTTAGGTCATTGGGGCAGTTAGTCGATGGAGCAAGAGTACAGGTGGCATTTTCCTCTATGCCCTCAATGGTAGCGAGGCATACCAAGACCAGGAAAATCCATCTTATAAATATGTGGCTAAGAGGCTGGTGACACCACAAGAATTTTGGCCTTTTTGACCATGGAGAGTATTATTCAGCAGCAGGTCTGTCTGGAGGACTGGAGGCTTGACACTGTGACTCCTATCTTAGAATAATAGAATCACAAAATGTTTTGGGTTGGAAAGGACCTGTAAGATCATCTAGTTTCACCCCTCCTGCTATAGGCAGGGACATCTCCCTCTAAGATCAGGTTGCTCAAAGCTCCATCCAGCCTGGCCTTGAATGTTTCCAGGGATGGGACATCCACAACCTCCCTGGGCAACCTGTTCCACTGTCTCAGCATCCTCACAGTAAAAAATTTCTTCCTAAAATTAGTCTAAATGTACCCTCATCCAATTTAAAGGCATTTCCCCTCATTCTATCACTACTTTCCTTACAAAAACTCCCTCCTCATCTTTCCTGTAGGCCCCTTTCAGGTACTGGAAAGTCACTATAAGGCCCCTGGAGACTCCCATATACAAGAAGGGTCATAAGGAGGATCTGCAGAACTACAGCCCTGTCAGCCTGACCTTGATGCTAGGGAAGGTTATGGAACTAATAATTCTGAGTGACATCACAAGGCATATGCAGGACAACCAGGGGATCAGGCCCATCCATTATGGGCTCATGAAGGGTAGGTCCTTCTTGACCAACCTCATCTCCTATGACTGGGTGACCCACCTGGTGGATGAGGGAAAAGCTGCTGATAAAATCTACCAAGACTATCCCAAGACTACCTAGGTATCTAGACTTGTCCTCTACAACTATGTGAAAGGAGGTTGTGGTGAGGTGAGGATTGGCTCGGGTTGGATATTAAGAAAAACAATTTCTCTGAAAGAGTTATCAGACACTGCAATGGGACATCCAGGGAGGTGGTTGAGTCATCATCCCTGAGATTTCCAAAAAATGTGTAGATGTGGTGCAAAAGAGTATGATTTAGTGAGCAATATTGGTGTTAGATGGATGGTTGAGCTAGATGATCTTAGAAGCATTTTCCAACCGTAATGATTCTATGATTCTGTGAATACTGGACATATACATTTGTAGCAATTTTCTTTCTTAAAAAGAAATATATATATATATACATACATATATATATATATATATAAAGTCACTCATTCTTCACTGTGAGGGTGGTGTGAGACAGTGGAGGAGTTGTAGAAGATGCCCGCTCCCTGGAGGTGGCCAGGCTGGATGGTCCAGTGGAAGGTGTCCCTGCTATAGCAGGGGGGTTGGAATCGGAGGATCTTAAAGGTCCCCTCCAATCCAAACATTCTATGATTCTGTGATTCTGTGAAAAACAAATCCCACAAAGCATAGCTTTTTCTATTACAGCAGTCAGCAAGAAGAAATAATTATATACCTATGGACAAGACACCCATGCCATGAACCACAGAGTTAAGAATTAAAACCTAACATGAGCCAGCCATACAGCTTTGAGATATTATTTAACAATTACATGAACACCTTCTGCAATTTTGATCCATATGTATGTTCAATATGTAAATCAATAACAAATTGACAGGCCTGAACAAAATGTAACTTTCCAGTAAACACCATGAGGGACAACATCAGTCCCTGGCTCAATTACAGTTGTCTAAGAAGCCACAAGGAAATGGGGGAAATGGACTCCTATGAAAGTTGTCCATCCTGAACCTACAACCATTATTAGATTAGCTTTTTACACTGAAATACAGGAAATGAGGGTATCATTCTAGTTACAGCCATAGAAGATATACCCAGCAGTTCACCTCCTGAATTGTAGCCAGAAGCAAACAGGGAGGTATTGGATACTCTTGAAGGTGGGCACAATTGGACTTGGACAACAGCAAAAGCACAGCTGCAGGTGGAATGAGTTGCTCCATGGTGCTAAGCAGAAAACACAGCAGTAAGACAAACTCAAAGAGGTTGCCAGGTGAGAAACAGCCAGTCTAATCAAGCACAATAAAAAATCCTGATTAGTGATATTTTTCAGAACTCAATACCAGTTTTAATCCTGTTTTAATCCTACCTATTATTTGCACTTTTAAGTCAGGGTAGTGAAACAAGACATCAGTGCTTTGAAAGTACAGATCTGCCCGATGGGAACAGCTTACCATTCATACAAATACAGGATATAAGTGAAAAAAACATCCCAAAAATGATTTCAGTATACTATTATTGGGTTATCAGACATTTTTGGTAAGAAGGATGACAAATGAGAGACTGGAGAAAGACAACACTAGTTTTGCAGATGCTTATGGCAAACTTCTGCAAAATGAGAAAAGCAGCACAGAGTATACACAGAGGTATTTTGGGCAGTGTTAGAGGAGGAAGTGACATTTTGATAGCAGATAATAAGGTTGGAAATGACTCATGAAGAAGGACCTTAAAATTAAAGAGAAGCAGACTGTGTTTAATGAGGAGAAGGCATTCAACAGAGAAGAGAAATACAGCTAAAATATTGAAGCTGGGAACTGTACTTTGTAGCAGCCTTCTGAAGTGAAACAGTGGGGGTGGTGTTGAATTTATCAGTGAAGGAGGGGAAGACACTGGATTAACCAAGGTGTGAAATGATGATACCCCAGACCACAGTTGCAGTACTGTAGAAGGGTATAAAGCCAAGCCATGGACACGTTCATACAACAAGAATGATGAGATCTGGAGGCTTCACCTGCTTATGAGAATTGGAAAATACCTGCATTGGTATGTCTCCGACTTTCTAAACATTGAATTAGATGAGTTAGGCTGTCATGCAAGATGTCTATTTGACAGATCACAGAATCACAGAATCACAGAATTGCCAGGGTTGGAAGGGACCTCAAGGATCATGAATCTCCAACCCCCCTGCCACGTGCAGGGCCACCAACCATTCCACCTAATGCTAGACCAGACTGCCCAGGGCCCCATCCAATCTGGCTTTGAACACCTCCAGGGATAAGGCATCCACAACCTCCCTGGGCAGCCTGTTCCAGTACCTCACCACTCTCTCCGTAAAGAATTTCCCCCTGACGTCCAACCTATATCTCCCTTCCCTCAGCTTAAAACCATTTCCCCTTGTCCTGCTGTCACTCACCCTTTCAAAGAGTTGATTCCCCTCCTGTTTGTAGGCTCCCTTTAGGTACTGAAAGGTTGCAATGAGGTCACCCCGCAGCCTTCTTTTCTCCAGGCTGAACAAGCCCAGCTCCCTCAGCCTGTCCTCATAGGGGAGGTGCTCCAGTCCCCTGATCATCTTTGTGGCCCTCCTCTGGACCCTCTCCAATAGCTCCCTGTCTTTCTTGTACTGGGGGCTCCAGACCTGGACGCAGTATTCCAGATGGGGCCTCACAAGAGCAGAGTAGAGGGGAACAATCACCTCTCTGTCCTTGCTGGCCACCCCTCTTCTGATGGAGCCCAGGATCCCATTTGCCTTCTGAGCCGCAAGGGCACACTGCTGGCTCATGTTAAGTTTTTCGTCTACCAAGACCCCCAGGTCCTTCTCCACAGGGCTGCTCTCAAGGACCTGTCCTTCCAATCTGTAGGGATGCTTGGGATTCCTCCGGCCCAAGTGCAAAACTCTGCACTTTGCCGTGTTGAACCTCATCAGGTTCACCTGGGCCCACCTTTCTGGCCTCTCGAGGTCCCTCTGAATGGCATCCCATCCTTCAACTGTGTCAACCACACCACTCAGCTTGGTGTCGTCAGCAAACTTGCTGAGGGTGCACTCAATTCCATCATCGATGTCATTGATAAAGATGTTAAAGAGCACCGGTCCCAAGACAGACCCCTGGGGGACGCCGCTCGTTACCAGCCTCCACCTAGACATAGAGCCATTGATGACCACCCTCTGTCTGCGGCCTTTCAACCAGTTTCTTATCCATCGAGTGGTCCACCCATCAAATCCACATCCCTCCAGTTTGGAGAGAAGGATGTGGTGGGGGACCATGTCAAAGGCCTTGCTCAAGTCCAGGTAAATGACATCGGTCGCCTTTCCCTTGTGATGTTTATATAAGAGAATAAAAGAGTTGCTCAGGAAACCCCATCAATACCACCAAATTTTTCCAGCTCTTAAGCTGGCCAAGACATACAGTTCAAAATCATATTATTCAAGAACTCCTCTTCAAATGGCTGAAACTCCAGCAGTGTATGGTTAGATACTTTCTTGATAAAAGATAAATTGAAAAAACATTCTCTGTATTTTAGAAGATGCTGCTGATCTGGTCCTGAAAGTTCCCTAATACACACTTAGTTTTAAACATAGCAACAACAGCAAGTAAAGTTGGCAGAATTTTCTAAGTGCAAACTAACAGAGCAAGATATTGAGGAATGGGAACACTCCAGGAGACTTTAGATACTGCACTGTGAACTTTGCAGCACTATTACTAAAAAAGCTTCAAAATAAAAGGCAGTAATAGCTGAACCTGCCAATCTCACAAGCATACCATGAAAGAAGCAAACGCTCAGAAGTCTGTGCACACACATTTCAGTCTTTAGGCAGAAAATTTCCTTAACATATTCTAACAGAGTAGAACAGAGAACTCCAATGATGGGTTTTCAGAGCTAGGGTTGCTTCTGTTCTCTGTAAAATTCCTAATACGTGGATTTATCTATTTAAGTAAAGCAACACAAACTTGATATCTTGAAGAAAAGAAACAATGATCCTGCTGATTAAAGAATCATTGATAGTGCAGTAAAGACAAAAGTCTTTATCTATAATTCCTGTCTCCCATCTTGGATTTCTAAAAGACCCATCTGTGTGACTAGCACTGCTTTCTTTAAAAAAGCAAAAACATAACAAAAAAGAACCCCACAACTTCCAACTAAATTTAGGTGAAAAGTAATGTAAATCAATGTTCTTGCAAATATTAACACTTAGAAACAGTGGGCGAAAACCTCAGATTTTTCCCAGAGGTTTTTGGGAGTGCTCCTCCAAGAAGGCAAGGTGGCCAAAAGCCCAACTGAAGTGCCTATACCAACGCATGCAGCATGGGAGATAAGCAGGAGGAATTGGAAACTGTGGTGCAGTTTGAAAACTACAATCTTGTTGCTATCATGGAAACAAGGAGGGATGACTCACATAACTGAAATGCCATGACTGAGGGCTAAGGGATGGGTAAGGTAAAAACGTGGAGGAGATGCTCTCCATGTTAAGAAGTGGATTAATTGTGAAGAGCTGCCCCTGAAAAACAATCATGAACAGATGGAGAATTTGTGGACTTCATTGCAGTCTTCCAATACTTGAAGGGAGCTTACAAAAAAGGAGGGAGACTGACTTTTTGCTCTGTCTGGTAGTGATAGGACAAGTGGGAAGGGTTTTAAACTAAAAGAGGGGAGATTTAGGTTAGACATTAGGAAGAAATCTTTTACTCAGAGGGTGATGTGGCATTGGAACAGGTTGCTTAGAGATGTTGTGGATGCCCCATCTCTGGAAACATTCAAGGCTAGGTTGGATGAGATCCTGGGCAGCCTGATAGAATCAGGCCCAGCCAGCATGGGTTCATGAGAGGCAGGTTGTGCTTGACCAACCTCATCTCCTTCTATAACTGGGTGACTAGACTGGTAGATGAGGGAAAGGCTGTAGATGTAGTCTACCTAGACTTCAGCAAAGCCTTTGACATGGTCTCTCACAGGCTTCTTCTGGGGAAACTGGCTGCCCGTGGCCTGGACAGGTACATACTCCTTTGGGTAAGAAACTGGCTAGAGGGCTGTGCCCAGCGGGTGATGGTTAATGCAGTTAAGTCCAACTGGCGACCTGTTTCAAGTGGTGTCCCCCAGGGGTCGGTACTGGGGCCTATCTTGTTTAATATCTTTATTGATGACCTAGACGAGGGGATTGAGCGTACCGTCAGTAAATTTGCAGATGACACCAAGTTGGGAGGTGGTGTGGATCTGCCTGAGGGTAGGGAGGCCCTTCAGAGGGACTTAGATGAGCTGAATCACTGGGCTGGGGTGAATGGAATGAGGTTCAACAAGGCCAAGTGCTGGGTCCCCATGCAGCCCCATGCAGCATTATAGGCCCGGGGACGAGTGGCTGAATGACTGTGAAGAGGAAAGGGACCTGGGGGTGTTGGTTGATGCTTCGCTGAACATGAACCGACTGTGCCCAGGTGGCCAAAAGGGCCAGCGGCATCCTGGAAATAGTGTGGCCAGCAGGAGCAGGGAGGTGATCATCCCCCTCTACTCAGCACTGGTGAAGCCACATCTTGAGTACTGTGTTCAGTTTTGGGCCCCTCACTACAGGAAAGACATTGAGTCCCTGGAGCATGTCCAGAGAAGGGGAATGAAACTGGTGAGGGGTCTGGAGCACAAGTCTTATGAGGAGCGGCTGAGGGAGGTGGGATTGTTTAGTCTGGAGAAGAGGAGGCTCAGGGGAGACCTCATTGCACTCTACAACTTCCTGAAGGGAGGTTGTGGTGAAGTGGGGTTTGGCCTTTTCTCCCAGGCAACGAACAGGACCTGAGGAAATGGCCACAAGTTGTACCAGAGGAGATTTAGGTTAGACTTACTTAAGGAAGAACTTTTTCTCTCAGAGAGTGGTCAGGCACTGGAATGGCCTGCCCAGGGAGGTGGTGGAGTCACCGTCCCTGGAGGTGTTCAAGTGGCATCTGGATAAGGCGCTGTGAGATCTGGTTTAGTAGCTTGTGGTAGCAGTGGTAATGTGAAGACGGTTGGACTAGATTTCCACACTAGGTTTCCAACCTTGTGATTCTATGATTCTATGACTCTATGAATGGTTAGCAGCTCTGCCCATAGCAGGGGCACTGGAACTAGATGATCTTTAATTTCTGCTTCAAGCTAAGACATTCTATGATTTTATGATTCTGTGAACTGGCATTCTAATTAAGCAGCGGTATGATTGGTAATATTAGTAACATAACAGTTCTATTATTCATCTACATTCATGAATTTCTACAATAAGGCCACAAGGAACAGGCCCATAGCATGCACAGACTAGCAAAACTTTCTGTGTGTTAAAGATGGTATTGATTGCAGCCTGAATTTGGCTTCATCTTCTGTCCAGATTGGAACAGAATGCAAAGCAGTTTGGATTACAAAGACTTCCCTGTTTCATAACAAAGAAATTGTTTTGCTTATGACCAGTAGTGATGATTGTATTAAAATATCATTGATTACAGGCAATAATGTCTTGTATGCAATACATTGCACATGGCCATTAATTTCATAAACTTACTACTTGCAAGACTAAACAATGATGTCAGATAAAAGTGTATTTTAAATAATAACTTGAAGAATGATCTCCACTTCCTACTTATAGAGACCAATAGAACTCTCTATCTCTCGTCTCCCCATCCGCATAGAATTAATATTATATCACAAGCAGTGCTAAGATATTTACATTCTTTTGATTGATACCTACATTTCAGAGTCGTCAACTCAGTGAGATATGGATGAAATAGAACAAGGTTTTCTTGATGTAAGTTCTTCTGTTACATGTTATTTAAAGTTGTACAGTTTGACTTCAAAAGTGAACTAATGTTTTTGAAATGAAGCCCATAATGCAGATCTGAATCATGAATCTCAAATTAAAAGTAAGCGAGAAAAGGTTGTTAAAATTCAAATATATCTGAAAGGACATTTAGGGGAGCACCCTCAAAAATTAATGCTAATTAATTTTTGGTGTCTATATGCCAAAAATTGAATACTTCAAGAGAACTGATAAAAAAGTGTTGCCTCACTTGAATAAGAGAAGCAAAATGAAAACTAATGATAAACCAAATTAGTAAATATCTGTTTATAATGGGCTGCAGCCCACCCACAGCTATCACACACTATAGCATGTGGCCAAACACAGCATCCTCCTTCATCCCCACAGACATAGAAAGTGTGAGGCAACATTATCTTTCTGCTTCAGTTCTGCTCTGAACTTTCACAGAAATGTCTACTCTCTTTCTTGAGAACAACCTTGGCTTTGAAGAACATGCAGCCAGAATCCTTGCACTAGTGAAATATCTTCTTTCTTTTTCCAAGAGTGTAATCTTCTCCCTGCATAATCCTCAGCACCTACCTTCCTTCAAAATTTAAATTTGGAGTAAAAATCTTTAAGGTTTCAGCTTAAACACCAGCCATTACTCCTTGTTGTATCAACACAAAAAGACATATTTTATCTCCTGTACAGCATCTGTGATTACAGAAATCCAGTATAAGTAAGACAGACACACACTCCCAGTCATGACTAAAAGAAATTGTGCGCATTGTAGGGAATATTTTCTTCTGCTGTTACAGAATATTTCAGAGAAGAGCATAAATAAACCAACTTGTCTTTCCCCAGGTTTTGAAATAATTTTATCCAGACACCTCAAACCTTATCTCAAACAACTCAAATGATATAAATCATCATGAAAACATGCAGAATTTTATAAGAACCAAGTACCAAAAAAATTCCCAAGGAGGATAATTGTTTCCCTATTGTTCCCATTAATGAAATCTCTGCTGTTCTGCAATATACCATAAGGCTGGATAAAGCAATCTGATTCTAGTTTCAGCCATTGCTTGACTAGTATATTATCAACATTAATTGTCTACTGTTGTGTAATGTCACTGGGCAGTACATTTTCATATACATAGTCTACCTTCTCAAGTATGATATTATGATGATTCCATAAGTATCTCCAAAGTAAACATAAATAGATGAGCAAATTCTGAGGTGTTTTGTAAGATATACTTCAGAATCTTTCAGTTCTATGTGTTCCTTCCAAAAGATGTGTGAATTTATGAAAGTTTTAAATGGGTGTAATTTACAGGCTGAGGAGCTAGAAAAAGTTGCAAGAACACTCAAATTATATGAAGTGGCCTACTTTACTGTACTGATTTTAATTTATTTCTTTTTCTTTACAGTTGTGAAATTGTTTTTCTGCTTGTAGTCTTCTTTTTATGATCGCTCAATGCATTAATTATTCCATGATTAAAGAATCAGCATTTTTAAAAGATAGTGGACAGCACGAGTACAAGTCAATTAGCTGAGGACAATTGTATGAGTTTCTTGCTGATGCTCCTTTGTCATCCTTTCAGATTTTTTACGTCTGTAAGGACAATGAGAGAAGCAGGCCCAGAGAAAACTCTACTTGAGGAGACAAAGCCATTCTGCAGCTGCCCACTGAAGGCTTGGAGGCAAAGAGACAACTTCCTCAGATGTTTGCTACTTAACTCTTGTTATGTAAAGTATGTATATTTTTCTCCTAAATACATATTTAGGAGCTGTCCAGCAGAACAGCCTCTTTCACTGTAGCTGTGTCTCACACAGAAAAAGTACCATAGGAGTGAAGTTTTCTATCTTTAACTAGATCACAAATGAATACAAACAAAAAATCCTGTTTTTCTTGCTAATATTTTGCAGTTAAACTTCAGAAAATATTTATATATATATACGTATCTCATGCATTTTCACTAATAGAAGAAAATATCTGTTTTCCCTTAATATACTTCATTTAGAGATCTAAAAATTATTTTCCTGTTCTTATTCAATTTTCACAGCATCTACATAGCTGTTATTTCAAGCATCCATTTTTAGAAGAACGTTAAAGTGCAGAGATTCAGAGACAAACATTCAAAAGCTGCACAGTGAATCAATACCAAAGACAAAATAAAATCCATTCTATCTCCTGTTTTAACTTAACAGTTAATGGGAAATAAAATGTCAGCCACTAAAAGGTATTTTTGGAATGGCATCATGCTGTTAACCAGTCAGAAGTGGTGAAAAGAAACAATTTAGACACTTTAGTATATATCAATACATGTTTAAAAAGCAGAAATTTAATGTACCTCATTAAATAGGAGATGATTATATGCAACTCGTAACATACACCCAGCAGTGATGCTTGTTTTTGTTCTGGATGGGTAACAGCAGGATGATTATGAATACATCCTGACGCTCTGATAAAATTCCTCTTTTAGCAACAAGCTTATGAAGGCTGATTATGAACAATGTGAATGTATAGAGTCAGGCAAAAATCATAAAAGGATAAAAATCAGAATGGTAGCAAAGGATTAGTGCTTTTTATTTGTTTCAGGGTTGTAACATATGCTGTAGATTTGAAGAAAAAAAAAAAGGACATAGTTGTCTAAATGGCATTCATAACAACAACAAACAAAGCAAGATTTAAAGAAATAACTGCTGGCAATCAATGGTACAAGTGGTAATCAATGCTACTATTTGCTCAAGGTTTTAGAAATTTGACTATCTCCAATGACATCAGTTAGAAGTTTGCTCTCAAGCCTCCACCTCATTGTCTGTTACAGCACATTCTTATAACTGTTCTGTAGAAAATCGAACTTAATATTGAATGGGTAACAACATATTGATCTTAGAGTGCTTTTAATCTCGTCATAAAGAATCCTGAACTATAAGAAGAGATATACGCATTTCTAACTTTTAACTCTTCCAATCTACTAACCTGAGTACAAAAGGGAAAAACGAATAACTTCTTTTTTTGGCATCTACAAAACTCTAAAGGGAGTTTTTGTGTCTTCCCTACATCCACTTTTGTATCCCTCCTCTACACTGTGTTGTTTTCCAACAGAATTCATTATACAGTGCCACACACACTACAGATTTTGCAAAGAAGCTCAGCTGTGGTGAATATGTTTCAAGGAAACAATGAGATTTTATACAAGCCTATGGTTGTCTTTACTACTACTTGAAAATGAATTTACATCGTCTGTGTTCCTGAGAAATGAACATGACATTAAGAATACATTTTCTTTTGGCTTGAGTGGCTAGCTGAAAAGATAAATTGATCTAGAAAACATATATCGCCACTGAACTGTGTATATAAAAACAATTCAAGGCAAGGGATCAGGGTCAAAATTATAATCTACTCAGAAGAGTAAATCTATTTGTAACATACCTTCAACTGGCAGAGAAAACACAGTGAGTGCACAAATAAAGGTGTTCCCTACTAGATCACTTATAAGAAGCACGAGTCCTGGATGGAAATAAATTACTGGTTTTATGTCTTAAAAATAGCCTAGTGATGCATAAAGCATGAGAATGAAAACATCAGGCATTCTGAGTTCCAAGTCCATTGGAAACCATTCTTCTCTGGCTTCACCAAAACTGAGGACATATTTCTCTTTCACAAGAAAACTATACATCAAGCCACACTGCAAACAAACACTGTTGTTTGTAATTTAGAAAATCTGGAAATAGGGTGAAATTGAGCAAGTTATTCTCCTCTGATGTGTGGTGATGCCTCTTAAGTTACTTTGATATCAGTAGCCAGAGAGCAGTTATTTTAACTGTGGGTTATAGGTACAAATTTATCAGATAGCTCCTGGCTCTTCCAACACCAGAGTTTCTTGATAACATTGACAACTTTCCTTCACACTTTTTTTTTCATGTCTATCAATTTACCTGAAGAGCTTCTGTGCTATTACCTGTACTAAAACTTCTGTTTTCTCTTTAGCCAGGATAGTGAGAATATGCTCAAGCATGTGCTTATTGTCAAAGTGTAACATCTTGTGGCCAAAACATTCTCCTCATGATTTATGCTAACCTGTTGGCTTCTGCACCAGCAGGAAAATTCAAAATACAGGACACTCACATCTCACCCTAAAAACATGATTCCTAGCTTTACTGTAGTAACCAAAGGAAACAGAGATATATTTTTAGATTAATTGCCCATAGGTTCACCAAATTTTTCTGTATTTGTTTTTCAGATGATACTACTTTATGCCATTCCTCCCTGCTTGTTATTTTAAACTGCCTTGTTGCTAATACATCTGGCTGTCTTCTGTCCTTTCTCACAGGGTCTCACAGACATTACGAAAGCCAAAACAAGCAAAGCAAAATGATGACAAAAACAAAAACAAACAAACAAAAAAACAGAAGAAAAATGTCTTGCTATTTTGAGAGAAAGGTGACACTAAAAATATGTGTATATATTCTCAAGGAAAAGCAAATGGTGTCCCACCACTAGACCACACTTTAATTCCTCCATCACAACTGTCTTTGTAATAACTTTTCCTAAATATGCAGACTAATTTACTGACTACCATCACATTGTCAAGCACTGGCTGCACTTTTGTACAGCTGAGTCTCCTTGATTGTGGTTCTTTCTGTCCTTTTTGTATTTGTCAATCAAAGTTCCTTTGTTGTTCATTTCCTTCAAGTCTTTCAAGAGCCTTTTGAAAAGTATTTTCTCCTTCTCCCACAATAATCAAAACATCAGTATATTAAAAACATTGTTACGGGCCATATGAACTCTATTTTCCTGTAAATGTCACAACATTTTTTACATCTGTTTTCATGCTCACATACATTGCGGAGTGTATCTGTTTACTGTGGCCTTAAAATGACATCAAACAAGGCAAAAGTTTGACTTCTGATTGACACTTCCTATCTTTTGAGTTATAAACACACCACTCTATTATCTTCAGTTTTATCCATATTTCCAGGTGGTTTTTTTTGTTCCCTTCCCTCTGTGCCCCAAAAGCACTGTATCATATGCTTTCTTAAAATAGATGAAACCATACCTCTCTCTTATTCCTATCTTTTTTTTTTGTTGTTAGCTATTAACCAGAAAACATTTTATAAGAAGTGGGAGCTGTTTTTCCGTAATTTTTATGCACAAATCTTCCTTAATTAATTTTACTGAAAAGATAAAAGCTATGATTCTGTGGCCTTTAATCAAAAAGGGTCTCTCTCTCCAAAGAATTAGTTTATAAAACTTGTATGCTTTCATACGCTTGCTGACAACTCCATAGAACAGTTTCACATTAATATTATTGCTCTGTCTCCCCTTCTACACTCTAAATGCCTTCTACTCTATATCTTGACAGTTCTAGGATTTTGTGACTTTTTGGAATTGGAGATTTAAAGATGTTATTTATTTATTTTACAGGAAACTAATTCAGATTCCAGTAGTCTGTTATTCCTGCCAAATTTAATATTTATATTTTGGCACTAACTGATTGTTTGTACATTTTACAGTTTCAGTATAGAGACAGAAAACCAAATGAGTGCTGAATCTGAATGATCCTTTTGTTCCTACATGACACCATCCTAGGTGCAGAATAAGCCAACCTGAAGACTTTGTGGTTTTGATGCTTAAACAATGCTTAAACAGTACTAATTTTATAAAATAAATTGCTTTGTGCTATATCTGTGTAGTGTTAGGCTGAGCAGAACAGTGCACCAGGGTCTATGCCAAAGAGATATCAAAAATTCATGAGAGGTAGACATATGAGGAATTTATGACATGAATGGCAACACTATTTTTACAAAGGCCAATTAAAATCAATTACATTAGTTCAGAAATTCCAATTTATTTTAAGCAACCATGCAGATAAAACACAAATGCATAGTGATACATTTCTGTGCAATTTGTACAATTTTTAGTGTCTACCCTTTGCAGACAGTCCAGACAGAACCAAGCATTCTCAGCAAAGCCTGTGTACAGGATTCTATTTTTCAGTACTCATCACAACTAAATTTTGTCCTCCATCTTGTATAAATGCAGAAATAATAGAGGTAAATGTGTTTTGTTTTGTTTTTGTTTTTGTTTTTTGTCTGCTTCTCCCCCAAATTCCCAATACTGCCACTTTTGAACAGTCAACAGGCAAATTCATCCTTGCTGCTCATAATTTCTTGCAAATCATGATTTTCAAAAATACCTTCAGAAAAATAAAATTTAAAACAAACAACCCAAAAAAAGAGACATTGGATCAGCTGAACAGTTTTCACAAAAGAATTTGCATCTCTTTAGGGAATGTGGGTGATGGAGAAACCTCACATCTATAAGTCTAAAGAATATTTCACTATATGGAAAAAAAAAAAAAAAAAAAAAGGACCAGAGAAAAGTGGAATCATTTATCTATTTCAAAAATTTCTTTTAGATCAATTTGAAATAGATTTTTCATTTGAAGAAAATATGAAACAAGATGTCATTCAGTACTATTTTTCCCCCACTAAATAAAATTCTTCTGTTTGTAGCCATAACGCATTAAATATTGCAGTAGCCTTTAGCTCAGAGCTCTAAACACATGAGCTCCACTCCAGTCTGCGGAAGAGGCAATAGATGGGATTTTTCCACTGGAGTGGGGGCTGGTGAGACTTAATGAGTGTCACAGCTGATCTCATCTGTGGTGCCTCACAGTGGCCCCAGAAGTATAGCTGCCCTTCCACATCTCTGCCTGTGGCCTCTGAAGCACATACATGACCCTCATAACGAGGAGGAGGCCAAAGAAGAGGCTGTTTCCACAGTGAAACAAAGACTGCATGAGCAGTATTTTGATGCATCCAGAATCTCCAAGTGCTAAGGCAAGGACAGAACATAGGCAGATTTTAAAAGGCATTATTAAAAAAGTGATTTTTTGGAAGAATAATGAGAATGGGCAAAGAAAGGGAACTTTTACTGCAAAAAATGTGAAAGATTTTCCTAACTATTTTCTGTGTTAGGCTGCCTTGTTTTCTTTTTTCTTCTTTGATTTTCAACCTGTCATTAGTGGTACTTCCTAAGGACTTTGTCCATGCCACTTTGACTCCTCTGGAAGGATTTTTGATAGCTACTGAAGAAGAGCACTGAGCTTAGGGACTGTTACCTATTACTCTGCTCAAATGTCTGATTTCTACATTGAACTGAGTATACAGGTATGGGAAAATAACAGTAAAGAGATAAAGTTTGCTCATAGAGAGTGAGAACTGCATCAAAAC